ATTTATAGTTATGTTTTTATTTTTAAAGCATTTAACTTCCACGCGGACCAGGCAGCAGACGGGACTCGAAGCCGCACCCTTCGCAATCCGGGCGAATGCACTGACCAATTATGCTATCGCGGGTTTACTTTATGATGGCTCTCGACGAAAATGATTTGGTGCTATTTAAATTTACTGACAAAAAACACAATAAAGTCTAGAGTCAATGGATAAGCATAAGGTTCTCTTATTTGTGCCACAACATCAGTCTTAGGCCATCGCATCGTTTAGTTGCGCGTCGCACAAATTGGATAGCTTACCAAGGATCCACATGATATCCATTGATGTTATCCGCCATCTCATTTGTACACTGCGAGGTGATATTTCAACCAACTCGACGTAACTGCGAACAAAATAAATAGGTGTTGGTATTTACGTCTTGGACGAATAAATCTATGTGTACTTACTTGTACTTGACGGCCGGTGAAGGGTTTACCAACAAACTGCGGTCCCAGTATATCGCAAATGTTTGTGGGATGAAAATCTTGGTGTTGTAATATTGTGTTGAATACTTATTAAAATCACTTATAGTCAACTTAATGTGCTGGTATTCGCACCTTCTCTACCAGCACAATTACATCTAAGACCCATTTATGCTAAAATCTGACCAATGCCAAATGAGGCGTAATGAATATTTCCCTCAAAAGGTGCTTTTTCCCTCAAAGCACCAACATTATTAATTCAAATAAAGTCTTAATATTTTTAAACACTTCGTTCCATCTTTGCCAGTCAAATAGAGACAGAAAGCTTAAAAGTGACTAAACAAATTTTGACTTGTAAATCTAACGGTAGAATAAAAAATAGAACTAACTTGCTATTTCTTCTTTTGAATGTTTGATACTTGTAAAAAGAAATCATTTTGACTTTGTATTTGCTTTCAATATGAAGAAGTGGCGCTGTGATGCCTATTAATTAAGGTATCAGTTAGTGCATTCGCACGGATAATTACCAGCCTGACATCAGGCAGTGTGCTTTTATTCTTTGAAATTCAGCATCAATTAAAAAATATTGTTAACAACAGCTAAAACATCCTGCATAAACGCTTAAAAAACTTAAAAATCATCTTATCAATTCTTTTTAGATAAATCAACATCATTATAATTATTTTTTAAGATTTAGCTTAGGGTAAGATCTAATTTGAATGTTTTCAAGGACGTGAAACGTTACATATTCTTTAAAAAGCATCGAATTTTTTGTCTCAAGCTTTTTCGGCTGGCTATAAAAAAGAGCGTAAGTGGTTTTTTTGCATATCGCGATTTTCGCCGGTGATCAGTCAGAGTCAGTGTGACGGAGAAAGGTGAAATATTAAACGGCGAGCTAACTTGAAGGTGATTAATGGAAACAACGTAGGCGCCCTTGACGGATTACTGCTTTCGAATATGATTGGTATAATCGTCAATTTCATCGGAAGAGCCAGAAAAAAGTTTATTAAAAGGAGGCTGAGCGACGGGTGGGGGGCAGAGGGTACTCGCTTGGTCGATTATTTAAGTAAGTACCTACTAGTGAAGCTAAATAATACTACAAAATTGATCAAAAAAACGCATTAATGCATTCGATCATAATAAACCAAAGTTAAGTAAGTTTTTTCTAGTAAACTTTTCTTTAGATAATAAACCAAGTTTTGTATCATCAAACCGAATATGTAACAAAAAGATAATTACAAAAGTGAAAGTTTCAGGAAAAATAAAAAATTGTTATTTTTTATTTTTCCTGAAACTTTACTTGCAACATAAACTTCTTGGACACGATTAGTGAAGAGTTTGGATGCACCGGGACCTCGGCAGTGGATACAGCGGCCGGCATGCTCCGGGGTCGTCCGTACGGTGGTGTCGTACAGCTTTGGAGGAAATGCCTGTTTCAAAATGTGTCAATAATACGGAGTACCAGTTCGCGAGTGTATGCAACAAAAGTGTCGTTAGGTCAAAGGTCATTTATTGTGTGCAGTGTATACATGCCTTTTTTTAAACGCAGGTAAAAAACACTCTTTACAGACGACGGCGCCTTTAAGAGGAACACCGCTGAACGGTCCTCACACCTGGCTTACGAACACCCCAGTGGCTGCCCGCCGAGGACCCCGCAACTCTTACGGGCGCTTTACAGCATAATATCCGCTAAGAAAGTCCTGCGAATACTTTATACACTGCTTAATACGAAGCCGCGGGGTCCCCGGCAGTGGTCTCCCGAGGTATTGAGGGACGTGCACAGGATGGCCCGCGCGTGTGGGCTGAAAACGCGGCCTAGTGCCCACCGTACCACCCCCCGTCCGCTGCGGAGGGCTTCTTGGGCGTACCCGTCCAAGCAGCCCTCCGCCGCCCCCCTTTGCAGGACAAAACTACCAGAGGGGGGCCGCCGTTCCTGGGAGGGGGGAGCGGGAGGGGAAGCATAGTTCTTCCCGTCCCTCTCTCCCCTCCTGGTCGCCCACTTCTCCTTGCTCCTTCTCCTAGGAGAAGAGAGGGGAAACGCGGGCGACAGCATTCGTGGGGGGCCGAGCAGCCAAGGCTACTCGGACATCCCCCCCTCTGAGGGTGCTCGTCCAGGCGCCGACGACTCAGAGGTCACTTTCTCCGGGGGTTTGCCCCGGGTAACCGGAGGGTCACACCTCCTGCCTCCCATAACATGGCCAGCCTGTCGACCACTGTCCGTGCATATCGCGCACAGAGCCAGGGCGGCGCACGTCGCCGCCTTGTGACCCGCCTTCCCGCACCTGAAACACAGGTTGCAGCGGTCAACCTTAGATGGGCAGTTAGTGGCAGCATGACCCTTGCCCATACACCTGAAACAGTGCACAGGAAGAGGACCAAAGACCCTCACCCTAGCGAGACTCCATCCGATCTTCAACGTGTCGACCTCTACCACTTTTTTGGCCGATCCCACGGGGCACCTCACGGTAGCCTCCTGGTCCAGGGAGTATCTCCCCTACCACCTTATTGACCTGGCAACCCCCTTTAGCTGCCACCGCCTGCACCACTCCGTCCGTCGTTATCGAGTCGTCCAGCCCCACAATGCGCAGATCAGCAACCTTTTCAGGCCTGCTGACGTCTACCAGGTCCGACATCGCCTCCTCCAGTCGCCTCGCAAGGGCATCAGCTTTTGCGGGGCTGTCCGGTCCAGGGACAACCAGGAGCTTGGTTCCCGTCTGGCTATCCGTGATCTTGAGCCCGCCACTTATTCCCAGCTCCTGCAGCTGGATTTTCCCCCTGGCCATCTCGATCAATTTGGCGTTTGTGACCCCGTCCTCCTTCGCGCCAAGCGTCAGGCTGATGGCCACTGCCGCAGTGCTTGGCACCCTCATTTTGGGCTTCCCGCCCTCCGGTCGTTGCGCCTTCTGCGCTGGCGCCTGTGTTCTCGTTGCTTCCGGCACTGGGGCCATTCCAGGGGCTGCACACTTTTTATTCTTCCTCTTCTTGACCACAGCAGTCCAAGTCTCTTCTGCTGTGGTCGTCTCCCCGTCCTTGTCCTTGGCCTCCGCACTCTGCCGGTCCGCCGCCAACGGTGGTCTGAGCTTTTTTGGCGGCGGAAGTCTGTTCTCCAGGGAAGCCAGCCGAGTGCTGACCATCTCCCCTATGGATATCATAAGGGAGCGTTTCAGCTCCTGGATGGCCTCTTTCCATTCCGATCTATTAGGCCTGCCTTTGCCCATTACCCCGTCGTGGAGGACCCGCACCTCCTTGCATAGCTCCTGCACTTCCTTCGCCAGAGCGGAGTTCTCTGTGCGGAGCTGACACACCTCGGCGACCGCATCCTCCAATCTCTCCTTGTATGCTGTTCTCTCTTCGCGGTACCGGTGGGCTCTCTCCGCCATGCACCTCTCCGCGATAGCATTGCCAAAAACAGGTTCCAGGCTCTTCTCCAGTGCCATAAGGCCGTCGGTCAACCCGCGGTAGTGAGGTTCTTTTAACTCCGTGGCATCGACGACAGCATCTCCCAACCTCTGAGATTAATAGGCTGATGATGATGATGATTGTATTTCTATAACATACATATAATATGAAGGAATGATTTCTTCGTCGAAGGAGCTGATTTGATCACATGATTCAATAAGTTTATATGCAGAATATTGAGACTACCTGGGGTAATATGATAGGAGGAACTTACCTTCTCTCTCGCATTGCGTTCCTTAACAGCTTAGATCACATCCTATGTTAACGATTCTCTACTACCTATTGTTTAACGATTTCAGTTAATAAAATGATAAATTGTAAGTAAATTAAAGGAATCCTCTACAAAAGTCTATATCTACAGTGATTGGATTCCTTGCCTATAACATTCTTACAGCAACTTGCTTAGAATCTCGAAGAATATAATTATAATGAAGAACATGTTGATAAGCGGAAGGAATGATTTCTACCCATCTTCATCGAAGGACCTTATCTGATCTGAGCATCTGATTCAATAAGTTTATATGCAAAAAGTTGAGACAACTCAACTACCTGGTGTACTATGATAGGAGAAACTTACCTTCTCTCTAGCATTACGTTCCTTTACAACTTAGCTCACATTCTATGATGACGATTCTCTACTACCTATTGTTAAACGATTTTCAAAGCAAATTAAAGGAATTCCCAACAAAAATCTATATCTACAGTGACTGGAATCCTCGCCTTATATTCAACAAACATTGTTAGTTGCAAAACAACAACTTGCTTAGAATCTCGAAGGATATAATTATAATGAAGAATACGCTGAAAAGCGTTTAACCTATGTTTAATACGAGGCGCAACAAATTACCCTACCCCACCTGATGGTAAGTGTGAGTACCGCTTCAGCCATCCTCACTTTGCCGACCTGAAACCAATCCTCTACCTCACCAGTAGAATCACAACATGGTGGTATGGCTACTGGCTTATGAGCCAGTGTTATTTTACTGTGGTCTTCTGTATGGTGGACGTTGCTTCCCCAGGTGGGTGCTCCAATTCGAGAGGATAATCCGCTGTGCCCTACCTTTTTTAAACTTAAAAGGAATTCAATGATTTCAAAAATTTCAGGTCAAAAATATCTAATTTCTTTAAAAAATGAAACTTACGCATACGGAAGCGCCGGTCTCGGTGGTCGCATTACAGAACCAGGGGAGTTTCCTCATATGGTAAGTAAACCGCCAATATACCACACTCCTACTTTCTCAATATACCATCGTTACCTCACAGTTTTAACCGGTACTCATCAGGCCAATTAGATGTTGATTAGTTTTGTGACAGCTTGAATTCATTAAAAAAAAACAATAATCTTTTCTTGAGCCGAGTACTTAAACTATGTATTGTGTATCTTTCTGTTTTTTATTGTTTATAAGTATATATCTTTATATATATAATTTTTCTGTGAGTGTGTATGTCACTGAACTTCTCTTAAACGACTGGACCGATTTTGATGAAATTTTTTGTGTGTGTTCAAGGGGATCTGAGAATGGTTTAGATTCACAATTTTATCCGCTGGACAATGTTTTTTTAATTAATTTTTAATTTATTAGTAGTTGTTGATTTTGGAATGTTTTACATTGGATCCGACAGACGGCGCTACCATCGCAGTGTCAAATGCTAAATAATATTCAATTTTAAAAGGCTCCATCTAGCGGCAAAGTGCTATTGGGAACGCGCACCGTTATGTTGCGTGTTCCAGAGTTGGAAAACCATCGAATTTATTTATTTATACACCTCAGGGTTTAACCAAAAATATTGTACATCCAATGGCATTACGATAAATTAAGTTTTTGTAAATAAAAAAAATATATTTTTTAAATAAAATAGTTTGAGTGTAAGCTTTTTTACCTTTAATTAAAACAAGTTGAAGATTTCATTACACATACTCACACGCTATCGATTAGTCTAATTGTAATAAATTTACATGTAATGACGTTAGATATTGTCATAACATTTGAATAATAATTTTCATCAAAATGGTCCAGAATGTTTTAGCTTATTAAAAAAAGTTTGAAATTTTAAAATTAAAGACGTGTAGACAGGACAACGTCTGTCGGGTCCGCTAGTATATATATATACATATAGTATACATTATATATGTATGTATGTATATATATATATATATGTAAATATACATATACATACCTACTTAAAATGCATTGAAGCATCATGTGCACTACTTTCCGACTTTGTTAATTATTACTGTAATTATCTGCGGAAATTATTGATTGGCCTTAAACATACATATTATCTAGCTGTAAGTTTCCCAAAAATTGTAAAATAAAATAAAATATCAAGTTTTTGATGAGAAGACAAGTTGATACTACGGCACTACCAGTGAAACTATTAATTCTTCTGATAGAACAGAATGCAAAGGAGTACTATTTTGGTTCTATGTTGTTTTCTTCTTCATTACAACTATATAGAATAAGATAAAACTCCTCTTTTTTCAATTTATCTTTATTTTGCCAGGGTGCCCTCGGCTGGAAATCCTCGTTGGGGCAGTGGGTGTTTAAGTGTGGAGGTTCCCTCATCAGCAAAAAGTACGTATTGACCGCGGCGCACTGCTCCAAGGCTTCTGAAAGAGACACTACCATCGCCGACGTCGATCCCAAGATTGTGAGGTTGGGAGATAAAAACATACTGGTGAGAATTCTTGATACTAGCAAAAGCATTAAAACCCAGCTAAATGTGAGTCAAAGGAGATTGCTCAGCTTCCATACATGTTTGGCCTAAAGACCATAATCATGAAAAATTGTTTCCTAGATTCGAAATTATATATGAATTACTGTAGAAACGAATATTATTGACGGACACCCCTGAGAACTTCTATAAACCATATACACTGAACATATTAAAATAATAAAAAACAAATAAGTTATATAATAAAATAGGGAAATCAAGCCAAGTACCGAAATTATGGATTAGATTCAGGTATATAGAGCATGTAGATTAACAGATAGTTGCCTTTTTTTAAAGTTAATGCTTAAGAGTAACTTTTAAAATCAGGTGTCATTTCCGGTTATATGGGGCCCCCACTATTTATACTATACATTAACGATCTGCCAAAAATTACAAATTTTTTTTGCTCTCTGTATGGAGATGACATTGCAGTAGTCTTATGTAATAAATCTGACAAAAACCTAAATGACATAATTAATTCAACTGTAACTGACATTATTAACTGGTTAAATTGTAATAACCTAAGGGTAAATATAGAAAAAACTTAAATTATTCAATTTACTAATAAAGGTGCAAAAAAAGCGGAACTAAATGTTACTTTTGACAACAAAACTAGTAAAGTAACGTTTTTAGGTATAGAATTTGATAATCACTGTACTTGGAAAGCACATGTTGACAAAGTATGTAACAAAATAAATAGATTTGCGTATGCATTGTGGCGTTTGTCTAGAATAAGCAATACTCAAACCACACTGAAAGCATATCACGGATATGTAGCCTCGATCATAAGGTATGGCATAATAGTATGGGGTAATTCTGTAAAAATTAAAAGACTGTTTATTGCACAAAAACAATGCATTAGATCTATTGCTAATGTTGATTCTTGGGTTTCTTGCAGGCCTTTGTTCAAGTCTTATAAGTTGTTGACAGTTCCGTGTATTTATATTTTTGAAATATGTATCTTTGTCAAAATGCACCCTGACCTTTATAAAACTAAAAAAGACTGCTGTACTTTTAACACTAGGTATCCAAAAAATATGTGTTTACCAGACTCTAGAACTGAAATTTGTAGTAGAAATAGCTTTACAATGTCCGTGAAAATATATAATAATTTGCCTGAGCCATTAAAGCCATTACCTATGTCCTTATTCAGACGTCGTCTATATAAATTATTAATAGAAAAATGCTATTATTCACTTGCAGAGTATTTTGAGGATAAGTAAGCTGAATGGACTTCAATATATGAAATTTTGATTTTGGACATGTATTATGGTTGCGCGGGTGATGCTAAATATTTGTTTTTTATAATGGACTGTAAATTTAAAATTGGCACAATAATCAAAGAAAGGAGTTTTCGAACTGCGTGGATTAAAAACAAAAGGAAATAGTTCGAAACCAATAAGGAAGGTTGCACAATACCTTGAATCAACGGCCAGTCCAGAAGCTCCCGAGGTGGACGCGTCGAGCCGGCTATCCAAAACCGAACTTGGGTTCGTGGCCGGTTGATATTCTTATGGGTAACACCAAATGGGTAGTCTTGCACTTCTATTTTCACGATGAGAATCACTCGAACTATAGTTTTTGTTTATCAAACGAATTAATTACGAAGAGCGCGATTTACGGCAGCCATTAACAAAAGGTGCGGATTTGCTAAGAAGGATGTTAACTACAACACCCGCTAGATGTCCCCAGTGGACATTCGTCGTCTCACTCTTGCATGCGAGATAGGTATGTGCAGGAGGGAGATGGGAAAAGGAAATGAGTAAAGTGCCAATTTAACTATTAAATTTTATATAATCGCCCATCGCCTTATTTTAATAAGGCGATGGGCGATTATACGAATTTTACGCGGTCAATTCAAAATGCCATACTGGCGCAACCATTCCCCCCGGCTTGAAGGGTTACCTTCAAAATAAACTAAATATCTAAAATGAGAAGCTAAATTTATTAAAAACTAACCTACTGAATCTACGATCACTATTATTATTATTTTACTAATGTTGATTAGGCAAAGGGCAAAGTCGTACAACTGGACGTAAATACGACCCAGTCGCAGTTCTAACACGTACTATTCGAGTCACCCCATTAGAACCTGGAAAAGTTTCTTCCACTACCCCTAAGGGCCAATGCAAATGTTCTCAGTTAAAAGAATAACAACAGTACCGACAGTAATCGGGTTTGACGGAATATTCCATTTTTGCCGGGACTGTAGGGTATGCAAATAGTCTGTTCTCCAGCGCTTCCAAAACGACTGAACTAATCTATCTAATAAGGCATGGCGCGACAGAAGATGAAGCCGATCTTCATCCACTTCTAAAGCGGGGAAATATTTTAAAGGTGTCATATTCAAAAAATGCGCTCGAGTTAATGCAAGAGGCTCCGAAGGATCGCTAGACAATGTCCTACAAAGAGGTCTGGTATTCATTACCGCCTCGACTTGAGTGAGCACGGTGTTAAGCTCCTCAAAGGAAAGAATTTGACTACCTATGACGCGGAATAAATGTGATTTTAAGCTTTTAATATTAGCTTCCCAATTACCACCAAAATGGCTTGCAGCTGGCGTGTTTAATGACCATTCAATACGATTCTCTGCTAAAATGTGTGCAAATTCGGTATTAAAGTGTTTGGAACTTAAAAGAGTATGCAACTCTGAAATATTACGACGGGCTCCAACATAATTTGTACCGTTGTCGGAGTATATTCGAGCTACAGGACCACGGCGCGATAAAAATCGCTTGAATGCAGCCATAAAACCTGGAGTGCTTAAATCACTGGCTAATTCTATATGTACTGCACGAGTCGTCATACAGACAAATAGACAAATATAAGATTTTGTGGAGCGTATGCCACGACCACGAGAAATGGTTACTCTGAATCCAAAACCGAACTTGGGTTCGTGGCCGGTTGATATTCTTATGGGTAACACCAAATGGGTAGTCTTGCACTTCTATTTTCACGATGAGAATCACTTGAACTATAGTTTTTGTTTATCAAACGAATTAATTACGAAGAGCGCGATTTACGACAGCCATTAACAAAAGGTGCGGATTTGCTAAGAAGGATGTTAACTACAACACCCGCTAGATGTCCCCAGTGGATATTCGTCGTCTCACTCTTGCATGCGAGATAGGTATGTGCAGGAGGGAGATGGGAAAAGGAAATGAGTAAAGTGCCAATTTAACTATTAAATTTTTAAATTTTATATAATCGCCCATCGCCTTATTTTAATAAGGCGATGGGCGATTATACGAATTTTACGCGGTCAATTCAAAATGCCATACTGGCGCAACCATTTTATATATTTTGATGATTTATTTAATTTGTTTGACATTGTACGATACTGATTACTGGAGGATCCTAAAAGCAAATATTGGTGCATTTACTATTTTACTTTTTGATTATTATTTTATTATGAATCGATACCATTGTATGATTATTATTGATTATTGGAACATTGTGAGAAAACAAATTTTTAACATTGGACATT